TTAAATTAGGTAATACAAGCGATGTGCTTTGGCACAGAATAGGTGTTTAGAGTGGAAAGTTCCTCAGCCCAAACTGCATCACTACATTCAAATCCAGGCCTGAAGGGAAGGTCGGTAGCAGAACAGCTTCCAGGAGAGCTTTGGTCATTTACAAGTAGCTTGCCTCAGTTCTCTTGCCCACTTCCAAGTTCTGCTTGATTCAACACTTTTCATACCAGGCATTTAATAAAGAAGGTGCCAGGCACAAGGAAGGAAATGGCACCTATTTCTCAATCCTAGTCCCAGAGTAGTCCCCTGGTTTGCTGGGATTCGCAGTAGTTGTCATAGCAATGGTCTCATTACACTTGACTTGGAGTCCTGGTGTGGTGCTGTGTGTTAATGCACTAGACAGCAAAGTTGGTTTGAACCACAAGGTTGGCCAGTTCAAGCTCACCAGCTGCTCCTTGGAAACCCTATGCAGGGTCACTATGGGTTGGAACCAACTCAATAGCACTTAACAACAACAAACACTTGACTCAGCTGGGTAGGACTGCATTTTTCCTGCTCTGGGAGAGCTGGCGACACAGCACTTGGTACTAGGACGTCATCTTAACTGGGTGGATACTACAATTGCAACATCCCTGTCAATGACCAGGGTTCAGACTTTCCCGGGTTCTTCCTCCCTCTGCCCCACTCCCCATTCACCTGTCTCTTAGAACACAGTCAACTCTTCCCAACCCTATGGGAAGTCCTAGAATAAGGGGCTTATAGTTTATTAGGGTTATTTTCCTCTGAAGTTATAGTCAGAGGAGCAGGTATGTAGGTATCATTAGCTCAACTGCTTTATCTGACTCAGAAAAACAAGTTTAATATGTGAAAACATGTTTTGTTTTGTTTTTTTCTTTGCTAGGTCTTGCTAATTCATTATCTTTAATCCAGGATATATTTTAAGTTAAAGCATAATATCTGAACCTTGAATGTAGTTGGCATAACTCTTGCTTCTTCCCAAGAAAATTATAACAAAATTTCTGTAGAAACATTCCTAATTTTGTTTTCCTTCCAACCCCCAGGGTTAGATAATCACAAACAGAACTTAAGAAATATCATATAGAGACATCTGTAGAAATGCTCACAGGTAGTTGAAAATATAGTATTTGAGTTCAGGACTGAAAATTTACAGTTGGGAAGTGGAAAGTAAAACTGTTGGCATCAATGTTGTCCTGTTGGGGTCCCTCCAGAATCTGACTCTGAGAAAAGGTTTTGAATGCAAGTAGCTCATTTGGGACAACCTTGCTTGCTATAGCGAAGAAGACTTGAAATACTTACTGATAAAGATCAAAGACTACAGTCTTCAGTTTAGATTTCACCTCAATATAAAGAAAACAAAAGTCCACAAACTGGACCAATAAATAACGTCATAATAAGTAGAGAGAAGATTGAAGTTGTCCAAGACTTCATTTTGTTTGGATCCACAATCAATGCTCATGGAAGCAGCAGTCAAGAAATCAAATGACATATTGCATTAAACAAATTTATTGCAAAAGACCTCCTAAAAGTGGTAAAGAAAAGAGATGTCACTTTGAGGACGAAGGTGTGCCTGACCCAAGTCATGGTATTTTCAATCACTTCATATGCACATAAAAGCTGGAAATGAACGAGGAAAACTACAGAAGAATTAATTCATATTAATTATGGTGTTGGCAAAGAATATGGGAAATACCATGGATCGCCAGAAGAACAAAAAATCTGTCTTGGAAGAAGTACAGCCAGAATGCTCCTTAAAAGTGATGATGGCAAAACTTCTCTTGTACTATGGACGAGTCCCTGGAAAAAGACATTATACTTGGAAAAGTGAAGGGTCAGAGAAAAAGAGAAAGACCCCCAATGAGATGGACTGACACAGTGGCAGCATCAATAGTCTCAAACATAACAATTGTGAGGCTGGTGCAGCGCTGTACAGTGTTTAGTTCTGTTATACAAAGGGTCACTATGACTCAGAACTGACTCAAAGGTACCTACCAACAATAGTTTATTTGAGAAGTGATCCCAGGAAACGTAAGCAGGAAAGTGTGAAGAGGTAAAGCAGGAACGGAATGCAATCAATAAAGTGTCATTACTGACAATGGTACTTAATCCCAATAAGCAACTGTGGGAACCAAGATGGAACCCTTGTATTGGAGCTCAGATATTACCAAACATTTTCTTCTTCTCTCCAGCAAAATGTTACCACACCCTTCCCTTACACTTCACATTTCTCTGCATCTTTACCTATCTTTTCTTCCTTCTTACCTGATTCAAAGGCATGAATGTTCCATTTTTCTGAACAACTTCAATTCTCCACTTCAATGCATATTGAATCTCTTCTCATTCCCTCCAAAATCTCACTCCATCAGTGGTCCCCTGCCATTTTCTAGTTTATTCTCCACTGACTCCTCTCCCTTAGTCCCTAGTCATTCCAGTTCAGATTTCTGTACATTTTTCTGTTTTCTCCCTTTTCTCCTCTCCCTCCTGTGTACTAAGACTTTCCTCAGAGGTGAATACCTCAAGCCCCTGATATACAAATATTATAGTCTATTCACCTTTATTTTAGACACAATTCTGTCAAAATTGGCCTCTAAATTTTTTTCATTTCTACAAAATGAGGCTAATGATACCTAAATAACAGCAAAGATTAGACATTAAATAAGTAAAACATCTAGCAAAAAGTCTGGTACAAAATAGGCAGTCAGTACATGGTAGCAAGTAATGTCATCACCAAGCCTTATTATTTGGGTTTACAACTCAAAGATGATCAGAAACAGAAAATATCAATAAAGAGGGCTTCTAGAGGTAGGTGTGGAGCACTGGACTGCTAATCACAAGCCTGGAGGTTCAAACCCACCAGCTGCTTCTTGGAAACCCTATCTATACAGGGTCACTATGAGTCAAAACTGGCTCAATGTCACTAAACAACAGAGGTCGGTGCTGAATACTAACAAGAAATAAAAGATGACTGGAGCAAAAGAAAACAAGACACCAAAGACTCAAAGAAGAAAGACAAATGAAAGTCTTTGTAAATCATGACCTCATCTGTTCTGAGGTCAGATGAACTAGATGGTGCCTGGCTACCACTACTGTTGTTGTTGTTATGTGCCATGGAGTCGGTTCCGACCCATAGCGACCCTGCACAGGGTTTCTGAGGCTGTAAATCTTTACAAAAGCAGAAGCCTCATCTTTCTCCCACGGAACAGCTGGTAGTTTCGAACTGATGACCCTGAGGTTAGCAGCCCGATTCGTAATCAATACGCTACCACTCCTTACCAATGTTTCTAATTAGGACCACAGTAGATGAGTCCTCACAGAATGGGAGAGAACTATAGACTAAAACTGGAAATTTGTAAAAACAAAGGAAAAATAAACAACAATAACAAAGAAACAGACCTACTGACCTGGTTGAGGCTGAAGAGCCCACTGAGACTACTGTTCTGAGGTTCTCTTCAAATCTTAAACAAAAACTAACTCCCAAGGCCAAATAACAAATTGGTCCACAAAATAATTTTGTACTGTGATCCTTTGAAAAAGCACCTACATGAGATCAATCAACTATTATTTAAAAATAGAGATAAGAATATAAAGGGACAGGGAAACGGTATTAATCAAAATGGAGCGACCAGAATGGAAATAATGGGAGAGCTGTATGGTCCATTCACCACATTCATAGAAAGGTACCCACATACAAACTCATGTATTTGTGGGTAGACTCCACTCTTCCTCCCATACACGTTCAACCTGGGTCTCTCTCTGTCCATGTATCTACCTGCAGAGCAGTTGTTCCAAGGTTGTATATATATATCACTGTTTGCCCCTATCCCCTTTGGTGGTGGTGAATGGACCATACAGCAGGCAAAATGATAAAACTTTTTTAGATATTGTCAAACATCTTAAGAATTGAAGATGCTTTAAAAAACATTGGGCTTATTTGTCACTAAGAGACTGGAGGAACCTGAGACTGTGGCCCTCAACCATTTTCCAGTGGAAAAGAACTCGCCCTCATGATCCAATTTTCAGTCAAGCAGTAGATAGGTAGACAGAGGGGATTATGTAGTGCTACGGAGTTCTGGTGTGTGCTGCAAATAAACTGAAAGATCGGTGGTTCAAGCTCACCAGCTGCTCCTTGGAAATCCTATACGCGGTCGCTATGGGTCAGAACCGACTCAATGGCACTTAACAACAACAACAACATGTAGTGCTGCAGATAATGCACTGTACTGAAAGGTCAATTTACATCACAAGATTGGCTCCTTGGAAACCCTAGACAGGGTCACTATGATTTAGAACCGATTCAACGGCACTTAACAACAACAACACAGAGTAAGGTATGCTCATCATGGAATGGTTAATTACTCAAAACCAAAAGGGCAATATTTATTTAAGGACAAAGTTGAGAAGGGATGGGAAGGAGGGTGGAATGGAAATAGGAATCACAGGGAGGAAGCAGGGTAACTGTGATTGCTCAGAAGGGATTGTAGTCTTTGAGACGAAACAAAGTGGATGATTTGTTGCACATAAAACTGATGAACTTGTCTGTAAACCTTCACTCAACCACAATAAAAAATTACAAAAATGTTTCAACAAACTGATGCCATGCTAGAACTGATGCCATGCCATTCTTGACCTCTAGTCTAGGTCAAGAAGTTTGGAAGATAGTTACCTGGCCAACTGACTGAAAGGGACACATTTGTGTCCCTTCCCAAAAAGGTGATCCAAAGGAAGGTGGAAATTATCTAACAATAACATTGATATCACATGCAAGTAAATTTTTGCTGAAGAGAATTCAAAGGTGGTTGTAAAAGTCCATCAATAGGGAACTACCAGAAATTCAAGTCAGGTTCAGAGGAGGACATGGAACAAGGAATATTATAGCGGATGTCCGATAGATCTTGGCTGAAAGTAGAGAATACCAGAAAGATGTTTACCTGCTTTATTGACTAGGCAAAGGCATCTGACTGTGTGGATCATAATAGATCATGGACAACACTGCTTTAACTGTTCTCATGTGGAACCTGTACATAGACCAAGAGTCAGTCATTTAAACAGAACAAAGGGATACTGCGTGGTTTAATATCAGGAAAGATTTGCGTCAGGGTTGTATCTTTTTTCCATACTTATGCAATCTGTATGCTGAGCAAATAACCTGAGAAGGTGGACTATAGGAAGAAGAATGTAGCATAAGATAGAAGACTCATTTACAATCGACAACTGGTTCAAGCTCACCAGCTGCTCCTTGGAAACCCTATACAGGGTTGCTATGGGTCAGAATCGACTTGACGGCACTTAACAACAACAACATATGCAGGTGACAAACTCCTAGTGGGGCACTGTAGGAAAAACACTGGACTGCTAACCCCAAGGTTAGTGGTTCAAACCCACTAGCCACTCCTTGAGAACCCTGTATAGGGTGGCTTTGAGTTGAAACCAACTCAACAGCACTTAACAACATATACCAATGACACAAGCTTGCTTGCTGAAAGCAAAGAGGATTTAAAGCACTTACTGATGAAGATCAAAGACTACAGCCTTCAATATGGATTACATAAAGAAAACAAATATTCTCACAACTGGGCCAGTAAGTAACTATAAAATCGGGAAAAGATTGAAGTTGTCAAGGATTTCATTTTACATGGATACACAATCAACACCCAAGGAAGCAGCAGTCAGGAAGTAAAACAATGTATTGCACAAGGCAAATCTGCTGCAAAAGATACTTTTTAAGTGTTAAAAAGAAAAGATATCACTTTGCAGAATAAGGTGCACCTTCTTCAAGCCATAGTATTTATTATCGTCTCAGATGCATGTGAAAGCTGACCAATGAATAAGGAAGACCGAAGAATTGATGACGTTGAATTACGATGTTGACAAAGAATATTAAATACACCACAGACTGCCATAAGAAAGAACAATATCTGTTTTTGGAAGAAGTACAGCCAGGATGCGCCTTAGAAATGAGGATGGTGAGACTTTGTCTCACGTATTTTGAAATGGTCTAAAGTAGAGGTCCTCAAACTTGGATGTAATTAGAATCACGTGTGAGGTTTCTAACACTCCCCACGCCCATACCACAGCCCATTCAACTAAACTCAGAATCTGGAGGTGTGATGTTTCTCAGTAATTTTAAAAGTCTTCAGGTGACTCTGATGGCAGTCAGCTGTGAAAACTAGTATTCTAATGAGAGCAAACTATATACACATGCTGGAGTCCCTGACCCTGAGAATCACAGCTGTTAATGATAGGGCTTCATACCCATCCATTTTGATTCAAATTACTGCAGAAAATTTGCATCTTCACTCCAGACAGAGAGAATCAGAATCTACATTTAACAAGATACCAGAATGAACCATTTTGAATCAAACACCGGTAAAAAGCTGAGTCTGAATGATTTTATGTTTTCTGTCTCCATCTGCTGACCATTCTACCACATTACTACAATTTATCTATACAATTTGGATATTCAAGATAACGCAGATTCTTGTATTTTAGGAGTTTGTAAGAAGAATCAAGAGAATCATGAAATGCTGAAAATAATCTGAAGTTTACAAATACATACACTATGCTCTTGTAAACAATAGGAAGGTCTTGCTGTTAAGTCAGTTCTGATTCAGTGACCCTGTATAGGGTTTCAAAGGCTTTAGCTCTTTCTGCAGGAGCAGAAAGCCTCATTTCTGGTGGCCTCTAATCGTGGACTTTGTGATTTGCAGTCAGTTGTTGTTGTTAAGTGCCAGAGTCGGTTCTGACCCAAAGCAACCCTGTTTAGGGTTTCTGAGGAGCAGGTGGTGAATTTGAACTGATAACCTTGCAGTCTAGTGCCTGAACCCAGCGCCACACCAGGACTCCAGTGCTTATAAGAGTCACAAGATGATTTTATAGCCCACAAGTATGAAGATTATAAAAATGTGGAAAACAAAGTTAAATTCTCTTAAAAGTTTTTTATCCAAGGAAGTGAGGGCATATTTCTGGGAGTCAGTCCAGATTTCATGGTTTATGTGTAGTTTAAAAAAGCATACTTAGCATTAACAGTAAAAATTTGTATTTGGAGAACAAAAGAAAACCCCTCCAATCTTTTATTCCCTTCGTACCAATAACACAGAATCAGTTTCACGTGTGTGGAGTGCACGGGTATTGGAATGAAAAAACCTGGATCAAGTGCCTCTCTGCTACTTCCTACCTGTATTATTGGAGGTCACTAACATGGTTTTGCAGTTAGTGGTTACGAATCGGGCTGCGAACCTTAAGGTCGGCAGTTCGAAACTACCAGCTCTTCCAAGGGAGAAAGATGAGGCTTTCTGCTCCCGTAAAGATTTACAGCCTCAGAAACCTTGTGCAGGGTCGCTGTGAGTCGGAACCGACTCCACAGCACACAGCCACCACCAAATCCATAAAGGAGTCCTGGTATGGCCCTGCAGGATAGTGCGCTGCACTGCAAGTCAGTTTGAACTTCAAGGTTGGCAGTTCAAACTCACTAGCCGCTCCTCAGAAACCCTATACAGGGTCGCTATGGAAATCCTATAGTAATTCAACAGCACTTAACAATATACCCATAAAACGGAGTACTGATAATAACTGCATCAGATTGCTGTGGGGATGAAGTTTGTTAAGGAGCTAGGCACCGTGCTCAACACAATGCAGCCAATAAACGTTATTATCACTGGGATTATGCTGAGGATTTATTGTTGATAAGTGCCGTCGAGTTCGTTCTGACTCCCAGTAACCCTGTATAGGGTTTCTGAGGAGAGGCTGGTGGGTTTGAACAGTTGACCTTGTGGTCTAGCACTTATCATACAGTGCTACACCAGGACTCCATGTGCAGTACCTATCTTTCAGGTACCAGAGATTCTAGGGGGAGGTGGTTTCCACTGATTCAGAAGCTCTATCTAGTCCTATTTTACCTTGCATTCTCCCCCCACCCCTACTCCTGACAATCACTGATTTATTCTCATCACTTCATTATTGCCTTTTCTATAATGTCACACATGCATTATATAGCCTTGGAAGACTGGCTTCTTTCATTCAGCATTATGCCTGTGAGATTAGTCCAAGTTGTTATGTGGATCAAAAACTAATAAATATCATACTTATTCCATTTTATCAATCTACTGATTTATTTACCCACAAAAGGAAATTTCAGTTGGTGACTGAACTGTGGAGAGGTGCAGAGGGGCTTTCAAAGTTGGTACTTGGGAGCTCTATGTAGCAGCTATTTACCAATCTGTAGGGAGCCCTGGTGGTGCAGTGGTCAAGTGTTCAGCTGCTTACCAAAAGGTTGGTGGTTCGAGCCCACCAGCTGCTCCAAGGTAGAAAAATGTGGTGGCCTGCATCCGTAGAGATTTACAACCATGGGGCAATTCTACTGTGCTCACTGTCAGTTGGAACTGACGTGATGGCCGCGGGTTTGGTTTGGGAAGGAACTGTTTCTGTACTTTATCAATTGGTGCAGCTGTGCCCATGCAAACTGGCTGAATAGCAGCGCTGCTCACAGCTTTCTAGAACTGGCAACTTAATAAAAACAGGAGACAGCATGTGCACCATCATTCGTTAGTTTATTAAAAAGAATTCCCAGAGACACAACAGAGAAAGAGTTGCTGCTCTGTGTCACCCCAAGTCATGGCAACCTTATATAAAATAAAATGAAACGCCACCGGTCCCGCATCCTCCTCATAATTGTTGGCATGTCTGAGTCCCTCAGTGTGGCTACGGTACCACTCCATCTCACCGATGGCCCCCTCACCCTCGCTGGCCCTCCACTTCCCCATACACAGTCCTCCTGCAGCGACGGAGCCGTCCTGATGTTGTATCCAAAGGCCCGTGGTGTGTGGAGACCCATATGGTTTTCATGGGCTAATTTTTAGAAACATTATCCAAAGTCTGCCTGACACTTGTCCACCATGGTGAGACCCTGTTGGTATTTGAAATATTGGTGACTTAACTATCTGCATCATAGTGACACATAACAAACTGATAGGTAATTCCTAAATCTACTTTGTTTTTCTGAGACCAAACTCCTTTCATGGCCTCCAGTCAGCTCGGCCTGGGCTATAACCTGGCTTCTTAGCTCGTGTTGGCACAAGTCCAACAACCCAGACCACGGCAATGCAGTGGGAGCGCTTTCTGAAGTGGCTGAGCCTTTTGAGAAGATGCTGCGACTTCATTCTAAATAAATAGTGAATCGATGGCTTCTGCCCCTAAGATTAAAGCCCCCATATGAGGGGGCTTCACCATTCATGGAAAAATGGGATGAAAAGATCCACGAACTTTGTGAAATCCCCTTGTGTAAGCTATTCAAGCATGAGTCTTCCAGCACCATACTGGACACCGGGGGAGTCTGGTAAGGCCTTCACCCATCTGTCGACCCAAGGAGGGACACTTGAGATCCAGCTGAGTCTAAATAAACTGTCAGCAGTCCATCTAAATAGCCCAGGATGGCCCTCTTGGCTGTGTCCCCACTTAGGGCCTGGATGCCACCTATATGCTCCAAGGCTGTTTTTACCATCTGGCCTCTTTCCTGAGGGCTGTGGGGTGTTATAGTGTCATCTCCTTCAACTCCTAATTTTAAAAACTGTAGGATATAGGATCGGACCATGTCCCCATTCTGTTCAAGGGCTTCTTTGATGTTTGGAAGGTCTGAGGCATGGGCCAAGCTCAAGAGATGAATCAACGCCTGGCAGATCTGGGTCCTCAGGCTGGCACAATACTTGAATTCCAGAAAGTCGGTGGTGTCTTCACTCTTTTGTAAGGCAGTGACCAGTGCGTTCCAGATCTGCCTGTACTGCTCAATGGACCCATACTGCTCTCTCTTGCCTGGGATGGAGAGCGCAGTGGCGGATTTGATGCGCACTTTGAAGTTCTTGCATGATGTCACAACTGACGTTAGGGCAGTGTAGGCCTGGGAGGTCCACGGAGCTGTACCTAGAATGGATCCAGAGGCATTCAAACAAGTGAGGCCTTAGAAGTAAGTGAGGGCCAGGCGGCGGGCAGGACAGACACGAGTGCTTAGGTTAGTCATGTCCGCTTTCCCTTCTGACAAAATTCCTAAGGAGACGGGTGGTCTGGGTACAGGGCAGCATATCTGAGCTTCCTCATTCCCTAGACCTGTTGGCTACCCTCACAGAGCCTCTGATGACTCCAAAAAGCTTCAAGCTTGGACTGAACTGTAGTCACACTGTTAGCAGTGCACAAACCATACAGTTGCTTACAGCAGCCTTGCTCATGCTGGTAAAAAAAAAAACAAAAAAAAAAACCCACCCCATCCTCTCCCAGTCCACCCCCCAGATTAGCATCCACACAGTACTCTGGTCAGACCAAGTCATGCATTTTATTCCTAACAAAGAGAAAATGTCCACTTTTGCCAGACTTCTGGGTTTTCTCTCTTCCTGTGGGTCCCAGGGAACCAGCCTGCTTTACTCATTAGTGTTACACCATCTCCTTCTTCTGGGGACGTCATTATCCCTCCCAATGCACAGCATCAGAGTGGAACGCTGCTTCCCTAACCCTTTCAGCCTTTCCCAACTTCCTTGTTGCTGCCAAAGGCGGGCAAGCAGACCCTTGCCATTGTGTGGATGATGCTGCCGTTTATAACAGGCCACCGTTAGAGACAGAGCAGCACCCACAGACAAGAACACCTACTGCAAACACCTGTCCAAATATCTGGCACTCACCTTAAATATTTAACATCACTGTGCACCTTGGACAATTAACCCAGCAATCAAAACTCTGCCTCAAGGGCTCAATTATACATTTTCATGAAGAGAGACCATTTTTAAAAACACTGGGGGGGAGAGGGGGGCATCACCTTGGTCCTTCTCCAGTCTCGGGTAATATTTTCCTGTTGTTTTGTGGAGAGTTACATTAGGAGAAAGTAATCCTTAACATCTAGAAACTTCTCAGGGAAAAGCAGGTGCCTGTCATGTGGATGGGTGGACAAGAGGTCTGAACCCAGGCGGCAGGAGCCCACAATGCCTAGGGCAGCGGCAGAATTGGAGCCCAGGTGCAGGTGGGAAAGAAGAGCAAGCAGGGGAGAAAAAAGCTCTGAAGCCAGGAAAGGACTCTCAAATATTCGTTTTAACTTGCTGAATGATCTCTCACAGCTGGTAACGGAAACTGCCATGGTAAACTGCTCACTGGCATGCCCTCTAAGTGGCACCCGTGGCACATTTCTTACTTACGGAAGACCTGTGGTTAGAGGTGCCAGAACCTCACACGTGGTCCCAATCTCTGCCCTGACTCCCCTTCCTCTAGTGGCTCCTGACACCTCTGCCACTGGATTCTTTTTAGTCCATCAAACCTTCTACCCCTGATCATGCCTGCTCCTTTCTCCAGGACAGCTTCTCTCTCTAGTAACTAGAAGGCAAGGGACAGACAGGATGAGGTGAGAAACCTTGGGTGGACTTCTTTGCTCTCCCCAGGCAGACATTACCTCAGTGAGTGCTGACCCCATATGGGAAAGGTCACTTGGCTTACTCTTCCCTGGAAGAAGCTCCTTCCCAGCTATCTGGACCCACTCAGAGCTACATCCCCGACTTGATGCACATTTGGCTGGTTCAGAACAGGAATCAAATCTTGTCACAGAGTCAAATGTTTAATACAAACTCTGGCGCTCAAAGTGCAAGGGATTTGGAGGCTATGACCCAGAAGCCTAAGCAGTGATAGCTACTACGTAGCATATGTGTTCACTGGAGACCACAGCGTTCCTGCTCTCTACCAAGGGTTCACAGAGATTGCCAATTGCACCCTCCTTATCCCATGCCAGGTCCCCCCTTCATTTTATCCTGATCATTAAAATGATATATGCTCAATTCTAGAAAATTTGGAAAGTGAGTGCAGAGAAGTCCTACTCATGTTCTTGTCCAGTGGCAACCACTGTTAAAAATTACGCCCATTTCCTTTCAGTCTTTTTTTTTCTACTGATTTAAAGAGATCTGAAGTAAAAAATTCATATCCAGTTTTAGTTTGCCTAACATCAAAAGTATATTTCCTAGATTACCAGGAATTCTTTGTAAACATTATTTAAAATGGCAACGAAATATTCCATTATGCACACATGCACACACGAGAGGGCTTCAAGAGAGTTAGTGGAAAAATTCCATTTTCTTTCAATTCTCTTTTTCCATGGACTTTTGAAGCCCCTTGCATGCACGTGCACACATACCCCATGTAGAAGATACAGACTAACCATACCTCTAAAGATGGGCATTTTGTTAAGTTTCCATTGTGACTAACACTGTGACAAACACCACTGTGCCAAGTATCTTTAACAACAATGTAGATTGCTGTGTGCCAAAGAGTTCCTCGCCCAGTGAGAAGGAGGAAGCTTTCTTACCCAGTGGAAGAGCCGGATTTTTAAACACATTTCCCATTGCATAGCAGGCATTCCAGCGGACTTTCATAGCAGCCTCAGCTAGAACAGTAGAGATCAGGGCCTGCATCGATGCCTCGATGATGTCGGCAAATCTGGGGTTTTCTACATGGGATGGCTGCAGAAAATGAAGCAAATTTCCAAGGGCCCGGACTGCGTTGCTTTTTACCTATAATAAAATGTACAACTATTGGAAAGTTGTTTTGTCAAAGAGATGTTTCAGAAAGAAATTTCAGTTTTAAATAAGGCCCCAAGTCCTCCTCAATGGCAGTTGTCAAATTGTTGTTTAAGACTTCTTACAGCCAGGGAGCAAGTGGAAAATGCAAACTGCAAAGGCGAGAGAGATCCACTGTCTGCACATTCTTGGAACTTGGCCAAGTCTTGCCCGGTGATGCTGCAAACCACCCTACAAAAGCTCCCCTCTGACTTTTTCAGTGCCTACCTGGGTCTCAGAACGCATGCAGTCCATTGTCCTCATTTCACTGTGATGGCAACATGGCCCAGGGACAGCGGGCCAATTCCGGAGGAGTAGCAGCTAAGTTTCATGATGCCAGTCTAGTGCTTTCCTACTAGCTAAGAGATACCCTACTAGAATCATCTTGGAAGTTTTTTTAAAAATCGGCCAATTCCCAGGCCTTAGCCCCAGAAATTCTGATTAAACAAGCTTGAAGTGGGCTCCCCAAGTGATTATTAGGGTTTCAGTGCTTGATACGGGTCAGATATTAGCTAGTTGCTTTATCATACAGCATCTTAGAGTTCAGTGGAGTACGTATAGCGGCTTCCATGTTAGAGACGAGAACACTGCAGAGAGGTTACAGAATTTAGCCAGGGCCTCCAAGGCCTGAAGCCCAGGTCTGTGTGTTTCAAACTCATCTGTGCAATAGGAGTTATCCAAAGGCAAGGAGGACTCACCTTTCTGACTTGTCAATTCTACATAAGGATTTTTTGGGGGAAAATCTATG